AGAACAAAGCTTTCCACATTAGTGCAAAATTTATTTATAGCTTTGTGCTTCATTTTAAGATGCAAGCATAATGCAAGCATTCTGTCCTAGAATATGTCCTCACTTATTTTAATAGAGAAGTCACATTTTAAATTATCTGCCTTCAAGTAGCAGGGACAAATAAATGAATTGTGTTTACATGTTTTGGAATTCTCTCGGTGGGGGGCTTACCATCCATTTAAGAAGCATGGCTGAGATGATGTGTTTTATATATGCACACCTATGTGTATAGATGTTTTAATTTCTTTTTGGCTGTGATTGATTGGGTCTTAGACCTTAGATGAGATAATTTTTCTGATGGTTATGATTTTAAGTCATCGTGTTCTTGTAGACAGTAGGTGAGTATCCTCCCAGTTTCATTCCTTTATCATTCCTAATTTGATTGCTCCAGGTTCAGCCATCTTTCTTTCCAGGAACTCATAAGCATTTAAAAAGGGATTACCTTCTTCTATTCCTAAATGTCCTGATGTTATGACCCATAAATGTCGTTTAGGTCAGGGGGAAGATTTTAGGCTTGACACTGAGTGAGGCTTGAGGGAGAAACTTCAGTCCTGGGCAGAGGAGCTGCACCTTCTTATCTGTCTTGTCTCTGAACTGCCCCTCCCATGTTCCCTACCCCAAGCCCTGTTCCTCATTCCCTGTGTCACTTTAGAGAAAGGCTGAGAAGAACACTTCCTGGTAGGGGGTCTGCTCCTCAACAACAATGAAGGAAGGTCTCCGTATAGGCAGCTGGTGCCCCAGCAGTTGTGCACGAGAGCTGAGCAGTACCTGGGCCAGCCAGTTTGGCCCTGCAGTGCTGAGGCTGTGTGACTCACTGGCACCATGTGCCCATTTGGTGGTGCAACCTGAGTTGTGGAGTCAGGGTCTGACCGTCCTGAGCTATGGAGTGAGGAGAGACTCGTCCTAGCTGACGTCACATTTTTGCAGTGCCACAGAGCAGAAGAGATTCTTGACTGTTGTTTGGAACAAAATATAAGTTAGGAAGAAAATAAAAGGATTTAAGCCCTTCAAATGACAGCATCTGAATTTTAAATGGCTTAGACTATCACTGTAAGGATAATAGACAGTTTGAATCCATGCATTTTACATGTTTTAAATGTAATACCTGTAAATCCTCAGAACTCAGACCAGTAGGCATTCTCGGCTCATTTTACAGAGGGGCTGGTGAGGATCTGACGGTCTACAGAAGATTACCTTCCTAATAGGTGAAGGCTGGGATTCACAGCAAGGCTATCAGACTCTCACTCTCCCAGGCAGCGCCTCCCCCGCATTTGTCAGAGGTGCAACAGCCCCTTTAGCACTTGCTAAAGCATCTCAGGGAGACTGGACTGCTGCTCCGGGCACCTCCCTCCCGGACTCACACCTGCCTAGTGATTGTCTCTCTTGGTGTGAATCTCTTGTTTCGGTCTCTAAATTGGTTAGAAATTATAACCCAGCTTAATCTTCCCCAGGGGGGAGATCCTTTTGTGTGAGTGCTAAGTGACATCATTTTGAAGAAAGGGCACATTTTCCTTGGTTTACTAAGAAGAGAATCTTTATGGTAGTGTTTCGCAGACAGGGACAATTTTTCCCTCCCCGGCCCACTCTGGGGACATCTGACAATGTCTGCATGTCTTGGCTGTCATGCACAGGAGGAGGAGTGGTGCTGGCACCTACTTGGTCAGGGAGGCTGCTAAGCGTATGCAACACCCAGGGCAGGCCCTCACAGCAAAGAATTGCCCAGCCCCAAATGTCCACAGTGCGGAGGCCAAGAGGCTTGGCTTTATGGGAGCATCAGAGCAAAAGGGCTCTGCGTGTAGAGGTGGCTGCCGTCACAAGGTGTCCACTTCATCAGGAAGAGGAAATGCTTTTTACTAATGAGCTGCTTCTCTTAACAGGTCCTTCATTTTGACAATGTCAAAGATGTGCCCTTCGGATTTCAAACAGTCACCTCGGATGTAAATAAACTCAGTTCCTTTTACTCTTTGAAACTAATCAAGCGGCTCTACGTAGACAAATCACTGAACCCTTCTACAGTAAGTTGTTGAAAGCAATTAGCAGAATGTATCTTTTTCCTCCAGGAATGGTGTTTCACATTGGCAGACCTGCAACATTCATTTCTAAGATGTTCGTTTTTGATTTAAGACTTCTTAAAAATTAACCAGTCCCCCTGGAGAGGTTGAATGTTGTGGGACTCAACACCTTCCAGCTCCAAGTGGAGAGAGGCTTGTGGGCTTCCCTTTCCCTCTCAAACCCTCATACCTCCTATGCCTCTTCCCTGCTTCTTTTCTGAGAGAATGGGGTATTCAACTGCCTAAAAAAAAAAATGTCTCCCTGGAGACAAGAAGTGCAAAAACCTCTTGAGTTAAATTTCTAATTTCTAAATAGCCGGACATTTGGCTCCAGGATGTTTTAGGATCCCCATCTCATTTTTTTTTTTTTAAA